ACGCTTGTAAGGACCACAGAAGAAGGTAACTCAGTGTATATTTTAATTGATAGTGGTGCAAAAGAAAATTATGTAAATCCAAAATTCCCTCACGCAAAAAGGATAGAGGTAGAAAGTAAAAACCAAGCCGCTACTTTACACGGTAAATCATTATTTAAATATAAAAATAAAGTGAATATAATAGGATTCAGTATAGAATTTTTAGAACTCGATACCTTGCAAGATTTCGATTTCTTGATAGGAATTAAAGGTTTAAAGCAAATGAAAGCAATGATAGATACAGAAAGAAATGTATTAATTGTGAAAAAGAATAAATTATATGATAGGAGAAGAAATGTATAAAAAAGAAATAAATGAATTAATGAAAAGAAATGAGCAGAGTAAAACATTGCCCTACGTAACTACAGTAGAGGCAAAAATCAGAACAGGAACAAATAATCCTATTTGGGTCAGACAGTACAAAAAAATTATTAGATAATGAAATAATACAGCCAAGAAAAAGCCCGTACAATTCACCCATATGGACAGTTTCTAAAAAAGGGAATGACGAGCAAGGCAACCCAAAAAGACGCATGGTTATGACTTCCAGAAGTTAAATGCGCAAACAATCGCTGATAGATATCCAGTTCCGGACATCACCATGATGCTCCAAAACTTAGGAGAAGCGCAGTACTTCACGTCGTTAGATTTGGAGTCAGATTTTATTAAATTAAAATAAAAAAAGAAGACGGGGAAAAAACAGCATTTTCTATAAATAATGCCAAATATGAATTTCTACGACTACCATTTGGACTGAAAAACGCACCGTCGATATTTCAAAGATGCGTTGACGACATCTTTAGACCATTCATAGGAGTATGCGCATACGTGTATATATATGATGTCCTAATACAAGTATATTCAGCTAACCCTGAACAACATATGAAAGATATCACCAATATAATACACACTTTACACGCAGCCAACATGAAAATCTCGGATGAAAAGTCAAAAATTTTTCAAGGACAGACAGAATTTTTAGGACATATAATTAAAAACGGTAGAATTACAGTAGATCCAGGAAAAATAGAAGCTATAGATAGGTACAAAACCCCTACAAATTTGAAAGACTTAAGATCTTTCTTGGGAATGACCTCATATTATAGAAAATTTATAAAAGGATTTGCATCCATAACGAAACCATTAACACTCTGCCTACGAGGAGAGAATGGTAATATTTCAAAAAATAAAAGTAGCTCAGTACATGTAAAATTAGATGACGAAGCACTTAAAACAGTTGAAACACTAAAAAATAAACTAAAAGAACAAATAGAATTATTCCAACCAGATTTTGGAAAAGGATTTGATTTGACTACAGACGCAAGCAATCATGCGATTGGAGCTGTATTGTCACAAGGCAAGAAACCTATAGCATTCACTTAACGTACATTAATGCGAAGTGAACAAAATTACTCAACAAATCAAAAAGAAATGTTAGTAATCGTTTGGGCACTCAAGGAATTATCTGTATGGTCTCACTTGTAATACTACTATTTACACCGATCATCAATCCCTAATTTTTTCAATATCAGAGGACAACCCAAATTCAAATAAAAACGATTAAAAAATTTTATAGAAGAATACGGAGCAAAAATTCAATATATTAAAGGAGATTTAAATGTAGTAGCCGACGCATTCAGCCGTGAAGTAAACGTAACTACGAACGACTCAATACACTCGCAGGAATCATCCTCGTCAATCAGAATTAAAGATGTCAGCGCTCCACTGAACCAATTTAAAACACAAATTGTGATAAAAAAAATGTGAACAAAATGCATTAGAAAGAGCAACCAGCATTTGCAAACCATGAGAGATTTTATGTTAATTACGTCCCACCACAAGACTTGATAGATACACTAACGAAAGTTATCAAACCTAATATCACGACCGCATTTCACATTACACTAGAAACTTGGTATGAAATTCATGATATTATAAACTCTTCATTTAATATAGAGAAAAAGGTTTTTTGTCAAAATCCATTAAAGGACATTACGAGTGAAGAGGATAGAGAAAATATAATTAAACATACGCATGAAAGAGCACATAGCAACGCAAAAAATAATACATTAGAGATACTAGAAACTTGCTATTTTCCAAATTTAAAAAATGATGTAATCTGACTAACTAGAAATTGTAGCATTTGTAAAGAGAACAAATATGAACGCCTCCCGACAAAACAAGTTTTTGCAAAAAACAGGGAGGTACAGGCACACATATACAAATGGACATATTTGAAATCGATGGAACAATGTATCTCTCATGCATAGATAGATACTCAAAATACGCATATATGAGAAAATTAAACGACAAAAGCGAATTCTAGAAAATATTAGAGGAAGCATTCATACAAATATTCCCATTTTGTAATAAACTAAGGACAGATAACGAGACTATATTTGAAAGCATAGCAGCAATATTCCAACGGCTATATATTGAACATTCAATGACCGCAAAAAAAACCATTCAACATCGAACGCTCAAGTTGAACGGTTGCATTCAACCATTCTGTAAATTACAAGAATTCGCATTGAACAAAATAAATTAACCGCGACTGAAGAACTATTCAAGGCAATCAAGGAAAACAATAGGACAAAAAGGAAACCTATCGAATTATTTTTTGAAAGGAGCAAGACTGAAGGAATAAAAGAACTGATCGAAAATTAGCAGGAGTATATGCTATCATACCAGAATAAAAAACGAACACAAAAGGAATATAAAACAGGACAAACAGTTTATGTGAAACAAAACCGACGAAATAAAACAAATCCACGCTATTTGAAGAAAACAGTTTTAACAACGGAGGGGAAGATCGTACACAAGGACAACCTCAGAAACAATGATGAAGATAACGCTAACATTAATCCTAGCAACATCCTTAGCTCAGGAAATAACCGACTTACAAGATCGGAAGTACGTGTTAACCGAGACTGACCCATCATTTTTGTATCAAGAACATAAGTACCTATTCCATATGACGAACTTAGGCAAAATACTTAAACCATACTGCGAGATCGACGAACATAAAGGAGAGATGCCTAGTGAAGACGCAACAGAAACAGCATTGTTCAACAGAATAGAAATCCTTAGAAAACAACTACTGAATAATGGACGAGCCAGACGATCTCTTGATTTCTTAGGATCGATTTTGAAATTTATCACAGCAGTCCCAGACCACGACGACCTGATTGAAATTAAAACAATACTCAACGACATAATTGAAAATAATAACAAGCAAAGACAAATTAATTCCAACTTTAAATTAATGATGCAAACATTTAATATTGAGACGATTAAACAAAAGGTTATATTGCAAGAATTGTACAAGGAGTTATTTGACTTAACTGCGACAATTAATTTCGCGAAGAACGGAAATTTTTATTCAGCAGCAATAAATACGGACGAGATTGAAAGGATATTAGAAAAGGAACAAACTAGTATACCGGTTATTGACATACTCGAATATGCAGACACGCATGTAGGTAGATTAGACGACACTTTCATTGTAATTTATAAATATCCAGTCATTGAAAAGAAATGCACAACATACAAAGTTACTCCATTATCCTATCGTCAAGGCATTTTGGATATGAATAAAATCGTAAGTAAATGTGAAGATGAATTAATATTAACATCTAAATGTTAAAATAATTTAAGTAAATATATTTGTAAACAAGAACCTAATGACAGTTGTACAATACCAATGACCGAAGGTTACGAAGCCCATTGTAATGTTACCCAAGAAAATAACGCACCTATTATAGATTTAGGACATGGTAATGTCGTATTACAAGGAAAACATATTTTAAACGAAAATTCAATTGACTTGAATTTAATCCAATTTAATGAAACAATTATTATTGACTCAGAAATATTCCACAACCAGGAACAAGAAATTAAAGATTATATTATAGCTTATGGAAACGAAATAATTCACATTCTTGAAATATTGGAATCAGAAAACGAATATCAATTTGACAACATTAAAAAATTAAATATTAAATACCATTTGAAGAACACCCAATCAAAAATATGTTCATAACTATAAGAGTACTTGTAGTCCTAGGATTAAGTATATTTGTAATATTCAAACTATATATAATTTATCAAAAAACTGTATATCTGAGAAACTACAACACTACCATAGAACGTGTAGGGATGACTCATCTACTCAAGACTCAAGTATAGATTAGGAGATCTATTTTTTACAAGAGAGGGGAGAGTTAATACTTTAACCTTTAACCACAACCTTATGTTTCAGTAAACATTAAAGAAAAATCATCAAAACAACTTTATCTTAGAACAACAGAAGCGCACTATCAGTTCAGCAATTCGAATATTCTCTGAGAAACTAGGGAAACTTCTTCCAATATGTTTCACTAACGTTGTGGGTCATACGCTATCCTCCCAAATTGCCTGCGGTACAGTATGTGGCATAACAACGTATACTATGCAAAAGGCCCGCGAAGATTAAATTGCTGAAACACCCAGAGTGGAGTCCCGAGATACTATAAGACAAAATTAAGACGTCCACATAAGGGAATACAAATAAAGGAGCATTATTGTATATAATACCTGACCTGCGCTGTACACTTTATATTGTACAGTGAATCGGGCATTCATGGTAGAGGCCATCAATATCTTTGGAAGATTTACACCCACCTTTGGCGTATCTATAGAAAAAAACACAACGCAGGATACCAGCACAACATAACTCTACACAGCTCAACAAACAAAACCTCTGTCCTCGTAGCGGATAGGCTCCTTTTTACTTCGATTTGCGATCATCCCACATCGGCGGACGTTTTCTTGCCGCGCAACTCATCTCGTCATCTCTTCTTTTTATAATATATACTTACCACGTCTTCACTGATATCCGACGGGAATTTCGTTACACGTTCGCGTAGTTATTGCAAAAAGGAAGTAGAGAATTAATAGTTATGATATTAAAAAATATCAGGTAGTTGAAAAAAATTATGATATAAAAATTTATTAATGTAACTTACACATGTATTCTTATTCAAATTATAAATATAGAACATCACAAACTGGAAAAAAACAACCCTAGATTTTAAGCTTCGCAATGCTTTTTCCAATATCAATTGCTCATATTATCATTTCATTCGTGGTTTGCCACGTTGGGTTCATTAATAAAGCAGATTTTATATATGCATTTTTAATATGGTAAATGTTAAACCCTTACAAAAAATTGTAAATAAAGAAATTTTTGCTTCAGCTTAATCCTTATATATATTCACAAATCCATGTCCGGTTCACGCAGGCCTTCCGAATGCATTTCTTTTCCAGCCAACTGAAGCATAACTCTATCCTCTAAATTTTTATCCAGTATTGAATTCTTTCCACAGCCCTAGAATAATTAATTTATTTAGTAGAAACAGCGTTATAATACATGCATACTAAATTATATTTTTTCTCTTTCTAAATATAAATTAAGGCATATTTAGAAGAATTATCAGGTAAATAGCAAATCAATGACAAATACTAAAATACTCACTTCGCCTTCTTCAGAGTCTTCATCTTTAGGTTCGTCGCCAATTCCCCAAACTTCAATATTACGTATTTTATAGTCTTTACGCTTGCTAAGTTGCACGTAGTCACGATAGGTTGTACAAGATTCGCTACTTTGTCCTATTCCATAGTCACTATCAATCCATAATCCCCAAAAATGAAACTGACCGCCGATTCCCTGAAGATAAAGATTAAAATTTTAAAAAATGTTAAATAATTTTAATTTAACCATGTTTCCCAATTAGCAATCGGCAACTGTCACGCCGATAGCTTTCTCATTTTATGGCTTTGTATGTAATGCACGTCCCACGCGATCCTTTGAAATTCCTACTGCCTTTTAATTCACGGTCTGCTAATATGCGATCGTTAATTGATTGCACTGCGCAACTTCCCTTCCAAAAACGCAATATGGCAAACGTGGCAAAGCTTAATATCAGTTATAATGCATATGGTCTTTAGTCGCACCTTACGACAGGCATACCTTACCGCGGGCAAATTCTAACCCCTGCCCGCTGAGGGACGTCTATACGGACAATCACGCTTCGATTTTCTGTGTTAGTCTTTCATTATAAGTTGACCATTAACAATTTTTGGGACAGCGCCTTTTAGGAATAGACTACAATTTTTGTTGTATCATGGAACAAAGCAACGATAAAGGCAGTCTGCTAATATGCGATCGTTAATTGATTGCACTGCGCAACTTCCCTTCCAAAAACGCAGACATACCCGCATCCAAAAGCGGTCCAAATAAAATATAGATATGACTAGATGTCTACGAGAATGTGCTAAACAATAGGTGATCTAGACGTGAATGGCAGGTAAATCGCTGTGCTTTTACTCAGATGCAATAGCAAGCTGCTGTACCTAAAGCGCTTAAGATCCAACGGCACCCATACGAGTCTGATGAAGAAGTAGCTTGATGCTATTCTAGTGAGGACAGACACCCTTAATAAGTTAGTGAGCCCAGCGCTAGTACTTATTGCCGCTCTTCTGTCGGAGTGAATGATCACCTCCCTGCAAGAGGATGCACTTCGTAACAGTGTGCCTACCGGCACCTTAATAGCAGACACTTCTGTCTGAAAACATTACATTGGTCCGGTAGCCTAAAGCTAAGGTTGACGGAAAGGTTTTTACAGAAAACTTATCCTTCCCTCCTAGCTTCGACCCATCCGGGAAAAAGCGACTCCTCCCCATCTTAATGTCCTCGTCGGTGAACAGAAAAATCGCCGCCACGAGTGGCCTTTGCGACGCAATCATCAAAGTTTTCAGGAATACAGTTGGGAAGTTTTTCGAGCATTTTCCAAGCCGAAGTCTATGCTATAAGTCGGTGTGTACAGATAAACCTTCAACGCAACTATCGCAATAAAAGTATTGCTATACTCAGCGATAGTCAGGCGGCAGTAAAAGCGATCTCTGCCTATGAGGTTAGATCGCTTCTAGTGCAGGAGTGTATAAAACGGCTGAACAGCCTATCAGACCACAACCGAGTGCACCTTATTTGGGTGCCTGGCCACAGGGGTATAGCCGGGAACGAACTGGCTGACGAGTTGGCCCGCTCTGCAGCCTCCACATACCATTAAAGAGCTTCTCCGTAGGGAGGAAAGAGCAGGCAGGGAGAGACATTGGCAAAAACTTCAAGGCATGCGCCATGCCAGGTTGCTAATGGGGGGTTTCGAGCTCAAACGGTTTAAAGCCGTAATCAATCTCCCGAGGAACAAATTCCGGCTGCTTGTCGCGTTCTACACCGGCCATTGTAGGCTCAAGAAGCATCTCTTCAACATGGACTTAGCCTCTTCTGCAAACTGCCGGTTCTGTGACATGGAGCCGGAAACCCCAGAACATCTGCTAATGAAGCAGTCTGCAGACGCAGAATCAAGGCCCTGGGATCCATGTTTCCAAACAGGGATTGTATCGCTTCACTAGCACCCAGCAGAATATTGGAGTTTGTCAACATGCTGGTGCTAGATGAGTCAATATGACTACGGGGAGGGCACAATAGACCATAGGTCGCGGTGCATACTTCAAAACTATTCTATCTATCTATCTTTCTTGAAGACGTGAGTCTCCGAAAGAGGCATGTTGTACTTTTTAGTAAATAAAACCCTTAAAGTTTTACTTGGGTTGACGGCTATGCCTCTTCTATTCGCCCAGTGGGATACCACGTTGAGTTACCGTTCCATGAGCTCGTAGACGGTATTTAGAAATTGTACCTAAACATAAGAACAACGTCGTCAGCGTAGGCTATCACCCGACATCCTCGTATCCGAGTTCTTTAAGTAGGTCGTTAACCACCAAGATCCAAAGCAGTAGGAAAAGTACCCCACCCTGCTTGGTAACATTTCCAAAATATTTCAAAAAGTGTTACTACACTATTAAAGGTGACTCCTTTCCAAAAAAGTATAATTCCAAAGCACAAATTCGGGTTTAATGCAAAACATGGCGCTGTAGAATAAGTAAATATAATTATTAACAAAATCAGAAAAGCATTCGAGATCTAGTTCAGGCATTAAATCACTTAAAAAATTTTAAAATATAGTTTCGTTATACAACGCTACGAGCTGTGCATTGAAATAATACAGAGGTTTCAGTCAAAGATCCTTAGAGCGATAATGGTACATTCGTAATGAAAATACAGAAGAAGTAGAGAACAGCAGAAATAAAAATGAACTTAAACTCCGGGATTATCCAAATCCATTAGCTAATAATTGAAGAAATATAAAAATGCATTATGTTGGGAAAAACGGATGGCCTTATCAAGAACAGATTTGACCGGTACTGATGCATATAAACTGCGCGAGTTTTGGAATAAATGACCGAATAGTTAGATATCGAGTTTTATTCTGGACTAATTATATCAATTTTTTTAGTTCTATACAGTAGAATATAAGAATTATTATCTTAACTAATTCTATAAATTATATTTTGCTTATCTTACATTTTTGATTACAAGTTCACTTTTGCTTTTTTTCGATACATTGTTGTGTTGTTTACAATAGTCCAAGCTATTATGGAAATATGATTTGTACCTTGAAGTTGAATATGTTTATTAAATAATAAAATACCTAAGAAAGTCGATGGGTAATTATACGATAATGTATTGTATGTAAAGAATACTTCTTTGTTCACGTTAAGCATTTTCATAACGGCTTGGAAATATTATGCAATATATTGGCAAAAAGTGGTATTTTGTGGAGCTCTTGTTGTAACTTCTCCCTCCTCTGATTTAAAACGCTCCTGAGTCCTTACTTTTGTAAAATTCATTTGATTTCTTTTTAAGTTTAGATAAAGTATTATAATAAAAACAATAATTATAATTAACAACAAGTCAAGAAGGGCTAAGTTTGGGGGTAACGGAACATTTTACGATTCTCAATTTGGAGATTCGGCAAATGGTAAATCATCATAAGCGGACAAAATAGATAAAGCACCTGAAGTCCTGCAACCTCTCCACCGATGTAAGTAAGCTTTGGACTACTGTCAAGGCCTTGTCTAATCCGGCCATGCCTCCTCGGACCCGCAGAAGTGCGCGAGCTATTTTACCCGGCAGTTTACACTACACCCTTCGACCGACAAGGCCAAACGATGTGTTACTCGACGGTTGCGCAAAATGCCAAAAGACTGCGCACCACTTACTTTCACCGATGGGGAGGTTCAGAGTGTAATCACAAAGGCCAAATCATCTAAGTCCATTGGCCCTGACGGAATAAGCATGCTGATGCTAAAACATCAAGGCTCGACGGGAGTAAAATACCTCACCAAGGTCCTCAACTTGTCGATGTCCACTCTTCAAATATCCGGTGTGTGGAAAGTCGGAAGTGTGGTCCCACTACTGGGAAACCCGCTAACAAAGGGTAGTCTTATCGTCCCATAACACTCCTTTCCCCAGTAGTGAAGACACTTGAGACCTTGCTTCTCCCGACATTTACTCACCACCTGAGTCTAGCAGACCATCAGCATGGCTTCCGAAAAGTGCACAGCACCACCACAGCACTTAGCGTCATAAAAGTCCAAATAATTCATGGCCTAAACCAGGAGCCACCCTGTGAGAGGACGATCCTCGTAGCGTTAGACTTGTCAAAAGCTTTTGACACAGTCAATCACACAACGCTACTCGAGGACCTATAACAATCAACGCTCCCTCCAGGGCTGAGGCGGTGGACTATAAACTACCTGATCGGTCGGCATTCATCCGTACTGTTTCGAGGTCAAAACTCCAAACTTAGAAGAATTAAACAGGGGGTTCCGTAGGGTGGTGTCCTCTCCCCACTACTGTTTAATTTCTACATTTCGAAACTCCCCCAACCACCAGCGGGAATTTCCGTGACCTCGTAGGCTGATGACTGCACGATATTGACGTCGGGCAATCCTCCCGTTAGATGACCTCGACGACAACCAAATTGAAACTTACCACCCTAGGAAACTGATACAACAACAAAAAACGATACACACGACATTTGCGTCGCACATTTACTTCAAAAACTAGAGAAAAGATATTTTGGATGATGACTTGGATGATACTGTATTGCTTTTAGAAGTATTTCGTGGATTTTGTGAATAATTTCTTAACATCAATCAATAGTATGTACAATAAAAGTTTATTTTCAATAGATAATTTTATGGTAATATATTCGTAACAAAACAATAAACTTTATAAGCAAAGTATATATTTACATATACATATATCAAATCTAAAATCTGAACGTAGGATACTCGTAATTATTTGCGAAATTTTCAATTCAATATTGTTTTGTTCCAGTTATTAAATTTCAAATTGTTGGAATGAGTGTTGTAAGAAAGATACTCAGTGAAGCGGAATATAAGAAGTAAAAATTAAAATAAACAAACAGAAAGAGATCATTCGCAAACTGACAGTTTTTTTAAGTGAAAGTGAAAGTAATAAGTTAAGCCTTTAAGCTTCAAAGTTGATACGAATATACGAGTATACACTGTTATCTCCCAAAAACCATTGTTGTTAAACAGCTTGATTTTAAGAAACCCCATATTTGTGATTTTGGCAGAGGAGCAATTATCTATAACAATAATAATTGAAGATATTCCTCAGAATCTAAAATAATTCTTTATTATGAAAGTAGTCTAGGATTAACATGGTAAATTTGTTCGTAATGACACTAAACATACGTATAAAGTTTATGTCTATCTAGAGAGAATGTAATTTACATGAATGTATGGTATACTAAAGTCTCAAAATTTAGAGGCGACAAAAGTTGATAAGCCTACAGGCGAAAAATCATTAAATCCGGTACTGACAGTACATATTTTTTTTTAGCCACTCTTCAGAATAAGCAAAAAAATTGCTTTAACTATTTTGAATTTTTAAATACAACTCTGCCCAGAAAGGGTTGAACGAAAATAACTTTTTTAACGAATTTGCAACAAACATTATTTTAAAGCCAAGTCAATAATTAGCTTACTTGGTGTTGGGAACTTGTAATAAATTTCACTACTCAAGAAGGCTTTTTCGTGTGCGCAGCACGTCAGTTTTGGCCCCAACATTTTCGTTATTGTACTATAAATCAAAACTTATATCCGTTTTAATTATTCAACCTTTCATAAGCTGTATTGATTTGTTTTGATTTTTCATTTAAATATTTGCAGGTGTTTAATTATCTGTCAAATAATCAGTTTCTAGGTTGGCAACACTAATGAAACTTCGATTTAAAATAGTTGAAGTTCCTAATACCTAAAAAGAGGTTGGTTGATCTGAAGTTGAATTCGTTTAATTTCTATTCAAGTGACTGGAGTTGAAAACCCTAAGCTTTTTCATATATTATCAAAGATTATATCACAAACAAAGTTACTTACTAATCCGTTGGGCATAGTTTGCTGATTTAAATTTAAATATTGGTAATGGTTATTATAACCTGTGCTGTTAAAACATCGCATTGCAGGACTTAAGGTATAAAGAAGTGAACTTTCATTACCTTAAAAAAAAAGTGTAAATTATTAGAAATGTATGTAAATTATATCATACCAAAAAAATGTGATTTTAATGCCCAAGACTCTGGGCTGTAACCAGCAAACAGATACCGATCTTCGTCTTCAATAACCAAAAGCGTAGGTCCTCGGTTCAAAATCTTTCCTAACATCGTCGAAAAACTTTCGCCCATTATTTTCGATGAGAATAAGAAACGCCATTTGTTTCGATATTCATTTGGCAAATTGCTATTTATAAATATCACATGTGGAATGTCTAAGATTGGAGTATAATTTGTGCCAACCGCTAGTCCTAGGAAAATTATATTGAAATATTTTTAAATTATAATTTAGTATTTACCTTCTAATACTGGTAAGATGTTAGAGGAAAAAAAGCAGCTTGATTTCAGAGACTTTGCTGAATTTCTGCTATATAAGCCATTAAATACTTCCCTCCATATAATTAGAAATGTGGGATTTATCTGCAGCCATTCTTCCAGCTGACTTAAATTAAAGTAGTGATCATGATCTTGACACATACTGCGAATAAGTCCTTTTGAAAATGCAAATATTGTTCGATCCGCCGACTGGTACCCATGTAGCTTACAACTTTCAAATGCTTCCGTGCAGTGATGGGACTCGATTTTTAAATAACTTTTTAGAACAGCTGCAATATACTGGTAACAAAATATTTAAATTTACTTGCACAATAAAAAATCTTCAGAATATTACATGTTCCAATTCCTTTGTTGTGTACTGATTTGTATCTGTTTGCTCCAGAGACGCGGTTAAAAAATTTACTTTATCATCGATTGTTCCACTCTCCACTATATAATATGGTTCGGCATACCGGCCAAGAGTAATTGGAAGATGTATCCTTTTGAAAAGAAAATTTGCAGTGCATTGGGCCAAATGAGGATCTATAACGTTTGACCAAGATTCCTAAGGATTAGAACAATATTGTAAAATATATGAACAAAACCATATTGTGATAGTTTATAAAAAAATATTATTCAACAAATATTTATAATGAAATAAGGTAATTGACCAACATTTTAAACAAGTAAGGAAGGAGTAAGTTCGGGTGTAACCGAACCCTCTATACTGTCGCGATTTGCTGGTGAAATATGTTTATAGACATAAACTTTATATTAAACAAGTAAGGAAGGGTTAAGTCCGGGCGTAACCGAACATTTTATATTCCTGCAACTTGCAAGGATCAAGGCCCGTTAAATACCTTCAGGTGTTGGGAAAACTTCATATTAAAAAATGTTGCGAAAGAATTAAGCATCTATTATTCGATGAAATCTTACATTAATTTCAATCAAATTTGGTATCTTCTTGACTTATATTGAAGGCCATAAACTTAGACTCAGTTTTATTGCTATATTTTAGTTCGCGTCAGCTAAAATTATATTAAAAACACCTTTAAATGAGATATATTGGTATTAACTCAACTGAAATTTAATATATTGAGGTGATGTGGAAAACTTCAACCAGAGGAACGGAATTTTTGTGTTGATAGTCGAAAAGTCCCTAGGTAACCACTAAGTACCAAATTATGAAGAAATTGTGCAAAATCGTCTGACAAACTGTAATAGCAAATTTGAATATCAAGTTAACTAGCTCCGTAATAAATTTTGCTAGTTCTTAAAAAAAGAGAGACGACTTGAAAATTATAAAATAAAAGTTCATTAAAGGCGTTTTATTGAAATATAAAATTTTTTTTCGATACATTCTTATTTTTCAAAACAAAACTGACATTACAAAGATCTCAGTTATTTTAGTTTATGTTTTCTGATGTTTGTAAAGTAAAATTAAAATAAAGATTTAAAAATAAACGAGAGCAAATCTTAAAAAACCAGTGATAGTTCATGAACTGTTAGCCCAAATATATCCAAAATCGATCCTATATCTAAGGCAATGAAACCACTGTAGACCAGTGTAATATATCCAATATTATACGTTCGCTTAATTTTGTAATCTTATCTTCCATATTGACCAATATATAATATTATTAACATATAGTAAAAGCCAACCGGCGACTTCGGATAGTATTTACCCGATTTTAACCATTTTTGAAATCAAGGCATAGAAAAAGATATTCTTTGAGTCCATTAACTCATATATTGACCGATGTACCATACATGGTATAAAGTAAACCAGAACTTTGCAAATCATTATATTAAGTATATGGGGCTATGGGAAGCATTGACCCGAGTTTACCCTTTTTTAAGCAACAGGACACATTATTACCAGGAATATATTATCCTTTCCTAAGTTTCACTGTTGTATCCCACAGATTGACCGGTTTTCGGTAAAAACAAAAGTCAGCCGTAAGCACTAAAGTCTACATATTCGGTATGGGGATCTATTAACCGTGATGTGACATACCTTAGGGCGCTATTTGTGCAAAATTTTATTCCTTTTCATACCGTAAAGTGAAAGAATCGGTTAGAATTTAAAATGTTATTATATGGAAAGTAGGCGTGGTTGTATTCCGATTTCGCCCATTTTCACACTGTAAAGTAAAGTTGTCAGGATAATGTTATTCAGTTAGCGTTAATACTAATATAAATTCAATTTTATATAATAATATTTAGAGAACTTAACATAATCATTTTTTTGTTACTAATTGGGTGAGCAATGTGAAAAAGCGTTGAAATTAAAATAATACTTGTATTTTAAAATTTAAATGTTAGTTATAGTGCTTCTAACGTCGAACAATCACACATCTACAGTATATGAGTAAAAACACGTCAAGTGGACCCCCATTTTCCACTTGATCATCGAATTTGAATGTGAGTATTTTTTCAAAAAGTAGTCATCATGAGCAAGTAATCCCCCGCTCAGTTTTTTAAAATTTTAATTTTAACAACAATTTTTTTTTAATTGAAAATTTTTACTACTTTTAGTTAAAAAAATAATAACTAGAAAACTATTGGTGATTTTTTAATGAAATTTTCAGGAGTTATAGTTCAAAACTTTTACTTTAAAAAATATGTATGAATTTAAATAATTTTTTTTTTTCAAATTGTTAATTAACTTTTAAGTTAAGAAATGAAATTGACTTCTCCCTCAAAAACTTAAAAATTTTTTTTTTAGTATTTTGCAATAAACATTAAAGTAACGAAATCCGCAAAAAAATTTGACTGATCGCGATTAGATTAAGCAAAAAAAAATTTTTATGACGGGCGGTCAGCGCTGCCGGTATAGCGCTGCAGGTATAGCGGTTCGGCAACGCAACACTTAGAGTGTGTTGCATATTTCATTTGTATGTTGGGATGATGGTCTCACATTTTGCTTGCAGTGAATTAGCATGAATGTGGTAGAACAATATGCATAATACCTACCCGCTTAATAGTTTAAAAGAAATACTTAAGACGGGAATTCCCTAATCCACCAGAATGTATTGAATACCCGCTATTAATATTTCAAGGCCAAATTTTTAACTGGAATGTCCTATTCTTTAAGTATTAAAAATTCATAATTTCTTTAAATTGAATATTTTTGAGTATCTTAGTCATTGACTTATCTTTAGAGTTACTTAGTAATTATAAATAAAGAATAATACTTCATTTTTTAATTAAAAATATCGTTATTTTATGATTAATTTTATTTCAACAAATGATAGATAATAAATTAAATAGTTTTTCATAAATAAAAAAAAGAAGTTAAATAATTCTTAAATTAATTCTTATAACTTATACATATTGCTTTATTTCTTTTTTTTTAACTTTATTGGTAACGATTTTAATGTCTTTGGCAAAATCTTTGCAATCGAGTGTAATGATGATATTCTCATATATTCAGCTCTGTAATGATGATATTGGCGGGTATTTTTTATGGTCACACATCGGTCATAACGTAATTTAAACATCTTCTCATGGGAGTCATGATCTTCTTGAGAGCAAAAACCAAAGTTAATTTTTTTAGTTGCATTCTTACCCCATTCAAATAATGAAGTTGCATTGGTTATGTGCTTATCGCTTTCCCGTTGAAGACTTGCACGAAAAGCTTGCCTCTTAAAACTACCTGCCAAACCATCACATGCTCCTTTCCCATGAAAAGTAGCAAAAAAATTTTATTCCGCGTCCACGTTGAAATCTTTTTTATGATTCATTAAATTCACAAAATTATACTTATATTTGTACTGAGAAGCAGCTCCGTCCGAAAAATAAGAAATCATTTTTATTTTATCCGCTCCAAACTTATTTTTTAGAAATTTTATCAATTTAAAATTAAAAAGGTGAACTGAGCTCGCGTCGTGACTAACTTTTTCCGAAATTACCACGTAGTTTATATGTTTCATTTCTTCGTTTTCTTTATAGTACACAACGTAAGGGTGAATTGTAGCCTGACTGGTATTCCAATGATGAGATTGGATGGCATTTTGAACAGTAAAAGTATAATTTTCAGAAAAATCAAGGCAGACGATAAATTCTCCATCCTCAACAGATTTTTTAATTATCCATTTTAATATCCAATTAAATGGATTGCAGCATTTCTTAACGAGGCTCATGATTAATTATCAACGAAATATTATCGAGATATTCCTTTGTTGTTCACATACTTGTAGATACTGGGACATAAAATATTAAGATGCTTTCATATTTATTTCTTTTAACCGCAAATGATTTAGTTCGAATATCATTTTATTTAAAACAAGTATTGAAATGTTAATTGGATGTTTTATAATGAATAGAAAAAAATATGGGGTAAAAAAATTATGGATTTTAAATTCTTAAAGAATAGGACATTCCAGTTAAAAATTTGGCTTTGAAATATTAATAGCGGGTATTCAATACATTCTGGTGGATTAGGGAATTCCCGTCTTAAGTATTTCTTTTAAACTATTAAGCGGGTAGGTATTATGCATATTGTTCTACCACATTCATGCTAATTCACTGCAAGCAAAATGTGAGACCATCATCCCACCATACAAATGAAATATGCAACACACTCTAAGTGTTGCGTTGCCGAACCGCTATACCTGCAGCGCTATACCGGCAGCGCTGACCGCCCGTCATAAAAATTTTTTTTTGCTTAATCTAATCGCGATCAGTCAAATTTTTTTGCGGATTTCGTTACTTTAATGTTTATTGCAAAATACTAAAAAAAATTTTTTTAAGTTTTTGAGGGAGAAGTCATTAAAATTTTCATTTCTTAACTTAAAAGTTAATTAACAATTTGAAAAAACAAAATTATTTAAATTCATACATATTTTTTCAAAGTAAAAGTTTTGAACTATAACTCCTGAAAATTTCATTTAAAAATCACCAATACTTTTCTAGTTATTATTTTTTTAACTAAAAGTAGTAAAAATTTTCAATTAAAAAAAAAATTGTTGTTAAAATTAAAATTTAAAAAAACTGAGCGGGGGATTACTTGCTCATGATGACTACTTTATGAAAAAATACTCACATTCAAATTCGATGATCAAGTGGAAAATGGGGAGTCCACTTGACGTGTTTTTACTCATATATAAAATGTATGAAATCTATTAATACGTTCTTCTTTCGGGTTTAGTTTATTCGATACATATCGTTCAGTAAAGGAAGTTCTAGACTGGTGGTTGCAGGCTCAAACCTTTTAAATATGGGTATGGTACGGGTATCTTCTGCAAACTACCGGTTTTGCGAAGCGCAGACGCAGTAACAATGGGTGCATTCAAGCTGCATAATAATTGCAGCAGAACAGCTACTGTGTTGCATATTTGCTGATACTCTGCTGATGTGCAGAAAAAAATTTTGTGTTGCCGATTATTTGTATAAATTGCGTGCAAAAAGTGACAGTAGAACGTGATGCTGTTGCAAGTGTTTCCAAAAATTCACGCAGAACGTGATACTTTGACAAATTCGCAACACTGCTGTCGTAATTGCCATCTCGAACGCACCCAATATTCTTCTTTCTATTTATCCGAATCAGGGCGCTGTGCAAAC